CCCCCATTTGCCTTGATAATCTTTTCCAGTTGGATTTTAATCATAGCCAGTTTAGGTAGTTACGGCTTGGGCGGGTAGGCGGTTCCATGGGTTAATAACCCAATGGGTGAACAAGCATCTCTTGCTCAGTCCTAAATTGTGACTTGTTGAACTTGTACCCGTTGCTCCTTGTTTGTGTTACATGTGAAGAAATTGTCTGGTTCATTGTCGTTCGAACTGTTTAGTATTTTAAAAGTTTAAATGAGATCCGCCCTGTCATGCCTGGTTTGCAGTGTCGTTAGCCCTTTGGCCCTCAACACTTCCTGACACGAGAGATGACTTAGCTCTAGAATGACTTTTGTTGCCCGGTGTTGCACTTTCTCCAGAACAGCTATGTCCCTCTGAAGATGAGGTCTCCATGTTCGGATACAGTGATCCAAATGGGGCCGCACCATAGATTTATACACATAATAATAATAATAATAATAATAATGTTTGTTCAGGTAAGGTACATACATACAAGAGATTTTACAAAATTGGATAGATTTATAGATAGAGCTAGTACATACAATGCCTAAAGCCACTATTACGCAAAGCGTTTCGGGCAGGAAAGGCAGGACATCACCACCACATTTTTCTTTAAGTCAAAGGTACGCTTTGTTAGAGGGCGTTGTCCCGTTTACTGTAACAGACCCCGAGAGAGAGAGAGGGTGTTGTCCCATGGAATGAATTATAAACCTGAAGGAGCCAAAAATAACGTTAGAGGCCATCAACATATTGATCATATTGCACAAGATCCTAATAACTCGGAGCTGAACACTTGACGCTAAAGTGGCAGTAGAGAACCAGCAGAGTCTCACGGGGTGATCTGCTTTATTAAGGAGCACTGGCTGCCTTCCCAGCACTCGTCCTGGCTGCCTGCCCAGCACTGGCCCTGGCTGCCTTCCCAGCACTGGCCCCTGGCTGCCTTCCCAGCATTGGCCCTGGCTAGCCTTCCCAGCACTGGCTCCTGGCTGCCTTCCCAGCACTGGTCCTGGCTGCCTTCCCAGCACTGGCCCTGGCTGCCTTCCCAGCACTGGTCCTGGCTGCCTTCCCAGCACTGGCCCTGGCTAGCCTTCCCAGCACTGGCCCCTGGCTGCCTTCCCAGCACTGGCCCTGGCTAGCCTTCCCAGCACTGGCTCCTGGCTGCCTTCCCAGCACTGGCCCTGGCTAGCCTTCCCAGCACTGGCTCCTGGCTGCCTTCCCAGCACTGGTCCTGGCTGCCTTCCCAGCACTGGCCCTGGCTGCCTTCCCAGCACTGGCCCTGGCTGCCTTCCCAGCACTGGCCCTGGCTAGCCTTCCCAGCACTGGTCCTGGCTGCCTTCCCAGCACTGGCCCTGGCTAGCCTTCCCAGCACTGGTCTTGGCTAGCCTTCCCAGCACTGGCCCTGGCTGCCTTCCCAGCACTGGTCCTGGCTGCCTTCCCAGCACTGGCCCTGGCTAGCCTTCCCAGCACTGGTCCTGGCTAGCCTTCCCAGCACTGGCCCTGGCTGCCTTCCCAGCACTGGCCCTGGCTAGCCTTCCCAGCACTGGCCCCTGGCTGCCTTCCCAGCACTGGCCCTGGCTAGCCTTCCCAGCACTGGCTCCTGGCTGCCTTCCCAGCACTGGCTCCTGGCTGCCTTCCCAGCACTGGCCCCTGGCTGCCTTCCCAGCACTGGCCCTGGCTAGCCTTCCCAGCACTGGCTCCTGGCTGCCATCCTCCAGGGGGACAGTGACATACTGCCGGGGTAATGCCTCTTCACCTTCCTGTCCAGTTTGTGATCATTAAATATGTACGTTGCTGGGGAGAAGGTTGAGGAGCGAGGGGTACTACGCTGATACACCGGTCAATACCCCGGTCATGTGAATGACTTGGGCAACAGTCTTTCTTGTAGGGATAAATTATTGAATGTGACAGGAAGGGTGAGATTAAGGATTGAAGCGCGAATCTTTTATATTTTTCTTTCGTTTTCCTTCACTTGAGAAGGAAGTTGGAATATTAATTCTCCAAAAGTTCTTTTTTTTTACAATTTTATTAAGGTCTTACGGCATGAGATGCATTTGATTAACTCTTGTTAATATTATCAAAGTTTGAATGGTTGCAAAGTCTTCTACCATGTCGTAGCTCAGTCGATTAAGGCAGCGTTTGGGATGCTCTCGGACGGAGGTTCGAATCCTCGTCACGGCCCTTGTGGATTTGTTCATTTAATGCATCACGTTATTGTGATTTCTGTGTGTAATAAAGTATTTTACATTCATAAACAAGTGGAGGTTTGGCGGTTAGATTAAAGAACAATTGGCCTTTGTTGATGAGGACAGGCTGGGACCCCAGATCTTACATCTGCCTCGCCTTAAGGTATCTTCCCATAACCAGACTCATATCTGACTCGCCTGCTTTCAGGTGCTCAAAAAGTTCTCTTCTTTCTTCGGGAACTTATGTTTCCGACTTTTGCATTTGTGAATTACTGAGTAAGTCTGGACTGTGTTTGTTCTTTTCACTTAGAACTTCATGAGAGGATGTTAAACTTTTTGGTGATTTCGTGTGTTTGTGTGACTATCATGGCTTTTATGGCACAGCTCTTAGAATTTACGGTACGAATGCTACCGCCATCTATATGTCACGTTTTTAGTCATAGTCTTTATTCCTTATTCTCTCAACCCACTACTACATAGTCAAACGTCAATACACAATGGTCACTTCCCAGAACAACTTTGTAAGTCATCTTTTATGTGTTTATTTTGCTTAGTAGGAAAAATGAGGCATAAAAGCTTTGATATTAGATCAGGACGAAATAGAAAAATCGTCATCATTAATTCAATGATTCGGAATATATGTAGTTTGTATTCGTCTGTGTTTTTTAACACACTGTACTCCACTTCATATAGTCTAGGGTAGCTGCACTAATGCAGATGTATCTAATATGTTAATAAAAAAAAAAAGTGTTTGGTGCGCGCGCAGCGTGTGGTGGCTGCTGGTCATGAGAGAGGAGAGGGCCGAGCGGGAAATTTGAGTCTCAGTCCCGTCAATACTGTGTTGGGCGACACTCGTGTCGAGGCGCTCCAGTTGGTCACGACTCTCACAAGGTGCTACCGGGCTGGTCACAACAGTGTCGAGGTGCGTTGTGAGGCCCTCCAGCGGAGTCATAACTCTCACAAGGCGTTTCTCTCCTTCAGCTGCGTTCTGTATACACTCACACTCTACTGTCGTGGATATTTAGCGAGCAGAGAACGCTCCATGTTTTTCTTGTATTTCAGTGAGAGTGCAAACAAGTCAGCCTGCTTCACTTACACTGAGAAAGTTTTCGATTTCCAGAATTGTTGCCTTATAAGAGATCGGTCCAGTCTCGTAAATACCAATTTCTATGTCAGATTACTGGGCCTTGTACCCACCTGTTTCCAGGCCTAATACTCCAGTTTCCAGGTCAGCTTACACTGATTAATAAAGGATTCCAAACAGGTTTTACTGAGGATCCCTCGTGTTGAACAAATGTCTTTTCCAGTGAACTTCCAGCAGTTGACAGCAGGAAGAATTGCCACATTCAATTCCTTTACTTTAACAAAACCTTTGAAGAAGGGTTTTGAAATGACTCCTGAAGAAGGAGTCATTTGCAAGTTAGCAGCACATGGTATTGGTGATTAGGTATTGGGGAGTTGGACTAGGTAAGGTAATTATCAGGACAAAGTACTAAGCTATTTAGACTGTATAACACTTAGAAGGGATAAGAATAAGGATTTGGGATGGGACGGGGAAAAGGAATGGTGTCGAACCACTTGGACGGTCGGGGATTGAACGCTATCGTCCAGCAAGAGTGGTTTGAGTTAGGTTAGAGCCTGGATACTTCAGTAAAAGGATTTAGCATAAATGAAGTTAACCATGAATGTAAAACCGTTGTATATTGGAGGACCTGAGGGCTCTGTTTACCATTATATAAACTATGTAAACAGGTTTAAACCAGAAACATTTGCAAAATTGCAGACGATACTGAAATATGGCGGGAAATAATTCAGAAGACACAAAATGCTCTAGATACAGGGATAGGCCTTCAAAATGGACGAATGATTTTACAAATACAGTTTAATGCTAATAATGTAAAGTTCTGAACTTAGATGATGATATTTCCAAGATATTAAAGACAATATCTCAATGTTAAAGTTTGGAAGTATGAATGCGAAAAGATTTTGGAATCAGGATTAGTATGGATCTTTAGACAAAAATTTTAAGACAGCATGCCAGGGCCACATTCAGACCTCCACAATCATTTTTGACACTGTCCGCTAGCAGTGAGCTAGCGAGCTGCCCGCTACCTACAAACCTAAATATTTTAAAATCAAATTTTTTCTTATAGTAATATGAACTATTATTTACTGATTTCAAGAAAACTAACATAAATTTCCTGCTGTCAATAATTTGGCCGTACTCGCATAAGACAGACGATTCTTCGTCAGCTTTAAAGGTTCCTCAAGCCTCGGCTATTAATCAAAGTAAAGGGGTAACAATTATTTTTTTTTAGAATTTCATCCCTCCCACTAGAGGCCTAAAGCGGCTCATTCTATCATTTCATAGAATGAGGGCCAGGAGGCCTGGTCGAGGACCGGGCCGCGAGGACGTTGAGCCCCGAAATCATCGCTAGGTATGGTAGACGGCAGAGCAGCCCGGCCTCCTAAGGTTTCCCAACGTCAATAAACTGTCGTACTAAAGTGCCCTTATCCTAACCTACCAGAGGACCCAAAACAGAAAACGGATTAGAATGTCAATGCCATGAGCCGGTACCATTTTCTAGTACGACGAATTTTTGGCCTTATATAGAGTATACGTCAAAATGCGACGTTCTATTATGAGGACGGGTTACAGCGACCGTTCTAGTTCTTTCATACTTTTTTCACGTTGTTTCATTTTGTTTTTATTTTCGCTTAAAATTAAAATAATTAAATATGTTATGTTTCTATTGAGTTATGAGCTTACTGTAACACTTTTTAAATACGAAATACATTTATGTACTTCATCTTAAAACTTTATAGCGTGGTAACCCCACACGAAGTGGCGCAAGATGGCCGCGCAGGTCTGGCGTCGGCGTCTCGGGATGGTCCTCCTCGTGCTGTGGCGAGCGACCTGGACCTCCGGGTTCCTGCAGTCGCCCGAGGGCCAGATGTTCTTTACCGCCTATATCAGTGCCCTCGGCGTCAAGTGCGTCAATGTCTTCCTCCCGGCTGGCAGTAAGTGCCTGCTCTCAATGGAGAAATAGTTATATTGCATTATATTTACCCTCATCATTCGATTATATCGGAATTTCCCTCTCAACCGTAGGCATGGGAGGTGGTCAGGTGCCTGTGGGTGTGCTGCGGGCGGCGTGGTCAGGGACGCCCCTCAGTCTGGCCCTCAAGAGGGTGAGGAGTGGGCGGGACGTGGGCGTGGCCCTGGCCACTGAAGGCATGACCAGTACCCTCAATGTTGCTTTCCTGCACGCCCGCGAGGACCTTAGTCTCTTCGTCGAGGTGAGGCCCCATGCTGCTGTGTGGTGGTGGTGTAGCACTGGTGGTTGTGGTGGTGGTATAGCACTGGTGTTTGTGTGGTGGTGGTATATCACGGGTGGTTGTGTGGTGGTGGTATATCACGGGTGGTTGTGTGGTGGTGGTATATCACGGGTGGTTGTGTGATGGTATAGCATCTGACTGAACTCTCTGTTCCTCGTGCAGGTCACTCACGAGTCCCTGGTGAGGCATCACTCATGGCTGGTGCTGGGTGATTCTCGCCTCCTCACTCAGGCCGGACTCACGCCTCGCCTGCCTCTCGACAACCTGGTGAGTCATATTCTCCTTTTAATAAAGATTTACACCACAGCTTTACAAAAGAACAATCGTGTTTGTCAAATTTTCTCTCGTTCTTTTGACACATTCGAAGCCGTAGACAGTGGAATACATTGCTATGTTGCACCCGACAAAGCAGGATTTTCCATCAATGTCTATCGATTAGCAGGGCGTATTGGCAAATTAAATCAATTGCTTAATTAATGTTTAATGTGGGGGTTACTTTTCGTTAATCGATAGCCATTAGCAGTAAGGCCTTAATATAAATCCTTGTCAGTAAGTGATACATTAAGGCCGGCGCTGTGTGGCAGCGCTCCTGTAGGAAATGCTAGCATGAGAAGGCGAAATTCAGCAACACTAAGTCTGAGCTCCATGTGGGACTCCTTCAAGAAGTCTGAGCTCCATGTGGGACTCCTTCAAGGAGTCTGAGCTCTATGTGGGACTCCTTCAAGAAGTCTGAGCTCCATGTGGGACTCCTTCAAGAAGTCTGAGCTCCATGTGGGGCTCCTTCAAGGAGTCTGAGCTCCATGTGGGGCTCCTTCAATAAATCTGAGCTCCATGTGGGGCTCCTTCAATAAGTCTGAGCTCCATGTGGGACTCCTTCAAGAAATCTGAGCTCTATGTGGGACTCCTTCAAGAAGTCTGAGCTCCATGTGGGACTCCTTCAAGAAGTCTGAGCTCTATGTGGGACTCCTTCAAGGAGTCTGAGCTCCATGTGGGACTCCTACAAGAAATCTGAGCTCCATGTGGGACTCCTTCAAGAAATCTGAGCTCCATGTGGGACTCCTACAAGAAATCTGAGCTCCATGTGGGACTCCTTCAAGAAATCTGAGCTCCATGTGGGACTCCTTCAAGGAATCTGAGCTCCATGTGGGATTGCTACAAGAAATCTGAGCTCCATGTGGGACTCCTACAAGAAATCTGAGCTCCAGAAAGCGACATTAGCAACTATTGTCGTGCCATTAAAAACACTGCCTGGCTAAGTCTACGTTTTAACCCTTATATATTAATCCTTTTACGTTCAGTCACGAACACGTTCACCCTACGTGTATTTCCTTAGATCATGTCATTAGTAATTCTGTCATTGAGGTAAGGTAATGCCAACCCGCTCTGCTTTCAGGTAAGTTGTTTGGTGTAAATACACCAGCTGTTTATGGAAGATCTTGTCAACACAAGCCTTCTTTTATCCACTTGTGAATAACTTGTTTACATGCATTCCTGCCATTTCATAGCTGGTCAAATGAGAAACTGTATGATAAACCTTGAGTAAATACACAGTAAATAGACATATATCTGTTATATAGAGACTCCTTGACATAGAGACTTGGCACCCGTATGTTTATATAAGCTTGAGGGATGGTAAATGTTAATTCCCCATTGATCCCCACTTAATTCCCCACTTGAGACAGTCAAGTGGGTCTCAGCTGCGTCTGGGTACAAGTGAAAAGATGAACAACCCAGCGGGTATTGTTCAAGCTGCTACTGCAGTATGTTCACTCATAGGATGAACTATCCAGCGGATTATGAAATATCTGTATCTGTCTGTATCTCTCTCTCTCTGTCACACACACACACACACACACACACACACACACACACACACACACACACACACACACACACACACACACACACACACACACACACACACACACACACACACACACACACACACACACACACACACACACACACACACACACACACACACACACACACACACACACACACACACACACACACACACACACACACACACACACACACACACACACACAAACACGCAAACACACACACACTCGCACACACACACACACACACACACACACACACACACACACACACACACACACACACACACACACACACACACACACACACACACACATATATATATATCAGTCCACTTGCTCCTCAAAGTGACCAATAATGCAGGGTGCTGCACATGTCACACAACTCACAAGAATCTCCTATTAGAAAAAAGCTCTTTGCAACTTTACGTTAAGAGTTAAATTTTTCATGAGGCGGGATAGCTGTGCTTGTGTGACGAAGTAGTTCTAGTCGGTTCCAGGACCACAACAAGTGCCAGGGGACCACAACAAGTGCCAGGGGACCACAACAAGTGCCAGGGGGACCACAACAAGTGCCAGGGACCACAACAAGTGCCAGGGACCACAACAAGTGCCAGGGACCACAACAAGTGCCAGGGGACCACAACAAGTGCCAGGGGGACCACAACAAGTGCCAGGGGGACCACAACAAGTGCCAGGGGACCACAACAAGTGCCAGGGGGACCACAACAAGTGCCAGGGACCACAACAAGTGCCAGAGGACCACAACAAGTGCCAGGGGGACCACAACAAGTGCCAGGGACCACAACAAGTGTCAGAGGACCACAACAAGTGCCAGGGACCACAACAAGTGCCAGGGACCACAACAAGTGCCAGGGGGACCACAACAAGTGCCAGGGGACCACAACAAGTGCAAGGGGACCCCAACAAGTGCCAGAGGACCACAACAAGTGCCAGGGGAGCACAACAACTGCCAGGGGGACCACAACAAGTGCCAGGGGGACCACAACAAGTGCCAGGGGGACCACAACAAGTGCCAGGGGACCACAACAAGTGCCAGGGGGACCACAACAAGTGCCAGGGGACCACAACAAGTGCCAGGGGACCACAACAAGTGCCAGGGGACCACAACAAGTGCCAGGGGACCACAACAAGTGCCAGGGGACCACAACAAGTGCCAGGGGACCACAACAAGTGCCAGGGGACCACAACAAGTGCCAGAGGACCACAACAAGTGCCAGGGGACCACAACAAGTGCCAGGGGGACCACAACAAGTGCCAGGGGACCACAACAAGTGCCAGGGGACCACAACAAGAGCCAGGGGACCACAACAAGTGCCAGAGGACCACAACAAGTGCCAGGGGACCACAACAAGTGCCAGGGGGACCACAACAAGTGCCAGGGGACCACAACAAGTGCCAGGGGACCACAACAAGAGCCAGGGGACCACAACAAGTGCCAGGGGACCACAACAAGTGCCAGGGGACCACAACAAGTGCCAGGGGACCACAACAAGTGCCAGGGGACCACAACAAGTGCCAGGGGACCACAACAAGTGCCAGGGGACCACAACAAGTGCCAGGGGACCACAACAAGTGCCAGGGGACCACAACAAGTGCCAGGGGACCACAACAAGTGCCAGGGGACCACAACAAGTGCCAGGGGACCACAACAAGAGCCAGGGGACCACAACAAGTGCCAGGGGACCACAACAAGTGCCAGGGGACCACAACAAGTGCCAGAGGACCACAACAAGTGCCAGGGGACCACAACAAGTGCCAGAGGACCACAACAAGTGCCAGGGGACCACAACAAGAGCCAGAGGACCACAACAAGTGCCAGGGGACCACAACAAGTGCCAGGAGACCACAACAAGTGCCAGGGGACCACAACAAGTGCCAGGGGACCACAACAAGTGCCAGGGGACCACAACAAGTGCCAGAGGACCAAAACAAGAGCCAGGGGACCACAACAAGTGCCAGGGGACCACAACAAGTGCCAGGGGGACCACAACAAGTGCCAGGGGGACCACAACAAGTGCCAGGGGACCACAACAAGTGCCAGGGGACCACAACAAGTGCCAGGGGACCACAACAAGTGCCAGAGGACCACAACAAGTGCCAGAGGACCACAACAAGTGCCAGAGGACCACAACAAGTGCCAGAGGACCACAACAAGTGCCAGGGGACCACAACAAGTGCCAGGGGACCACAACAAGTGCCAGAGGACCACAACAAGTGCCAGGGGACCACAACAAGTGCCAGGGGACCACAACAAGTGCCAGGGGGGCCACAACAAGTGCCAGGGGACCACAACAAGTGCCAGAGGACCACAACAAGTGCCAGAGGACCACAACAAGTGCCAGGGACCACAACAAGTGCCAGAGGACCACAACAAGTGCCAGAGGACCACAACAAGTGCCAGGGGACCACAACAAGTGCCAGGGTATACTTGTTTCATGTATGGTATACATGATACATGTATAGTATAGTATGATGAAAGACTGGAAACTATTCTGTTTATGTTACTGACTCGTAAACTCCATCATCCATTATTCAAAAGGAGATATTAGCGTTCAGTACGTAATAATATTCTTATGGTAATACTCCTGCCGTAAACGACGAATCAATATAAAATAAGTTTTTGTATTTTGAGAAATATTCGCAGTGTTTACATGTATTGTTTTCTGGGTAGAAATAGCCTAAGCTACTTTATCCCTTTGAGATGTATTTCTCTTATCTCAATAAAAATACTTGAACTTGAACTTTTCTGAATTTATTTTCTCAGAACTGCTCTGATTTATGTAGGTATATATGTATCAGCTTATATCTTCCTACTTGATGAGGTACCCGTCGGTCCGCGGGTCTACCCAGTCTCTCTCTCTCTCTCAATATTACGTTTATTACAATGAATCACATGTGTCTATGAATCACGTGTTTCATTATGTGGTGGGTGTATGTATCACTACTAGAGACACAGGTATAGGACACGTGGTGGCGACTGAGTGCGGAGGTCCTGGGTGGGTGAACAGAAGTAGAGACCCCTGGAGAAGTCATAAGAGTATGTATGCAGGAGTGGATGCTAACATTCCAAATATGTCATGAAATATATAGTTGTTTAATAAAGACATAGGTATGACATATAGAATTATTTTGACAATTTTGTGGACATTAGTGCGTAATGTTTTACAAGTTACTATGGAAATAAATGAATTTTGTTTTTTAGAACGTTTTCAAGATCCTGCCAGTCTGAGAGTGGCCAGGTTTAGAATGGTTCTCAGGCCACTGTGCCATGCTGTACTCGTTTGATTAGTGCCATCCCCGACACGCCCATGTTAGGCACGTGACCAATTCTAATTCCTTGGAAAATTTGGGCGAGGCCAGCTCCAAACGTCTGGCCTCCAGTCTCGGACAAACAGACAGACAGCAACAGGTTCGATCCCACAATCGTGCTCATGGATTTTCTCAATAATATATCAGACTGTAGTGATTTCATTGTTTATTTTCTGAATGCTGATCAACTCTGCAAAATATATAACTCTTAAATAGGCCTACACAGCGGAGAATCTCAATTACAGAAACATGTAGAGAGACAAGCTTGTCAAGGTTGAGTTCCCTGCATATACCTGGTCTAGGAGTATCTATAGCAACCCCATGGCAAACTAAACGCATAGTTTACCTGCAGCATGTGTTGTTTTGTTATCCTTTAACTCTCTTCAAGTATACACTATTAGATTAGATAAGGTTAACTTAGGTTAGGTCAGGTACGCATTTTAGGTTTACCAACCTACAACGCGGGAACGCACACCACCCACCTAAGACAAAATTCGTTTTGTCTCCGACAGAACGAATTATTAAAACGTTTGCTGGAGAGAGCGAGAGTGTGGCGTCGAGCAGTGTGAGTGTACTGTGTTGAGGTACCAGGTACATGCCATAGTACCAGATTTCATCCCTGAGAATGTAACCTCTATTGTCTTTATAATGTTTAAGATTTGTTAGTTATGATGAACTAACTGAACTGATGTTCACTGAACGCCTGTGTGTTCAGTGTACAAAGTGACCGGTTGAGTTAGCCTCATCCCACTGGCTTAGTAGCCTCTTGTCATGTTTTCTGAGCGAGTAACAGTGATGCCAACCTTCACCTTCTTGGTATTGATTTTAATGATGAGCTCAATCAGCAGTCATCTTCCTACCCTCGGCTATTATGTAATATAACAGTGAATCACGGCAAATGATGACGTAGGGGTAAAGCTGATAATTGACTTTTATGTAAGGTTGTGTATTAATAATTAAGAGACAAGGGTAAACAGAGAATAATTGGTTGTTTGAAATGCCTAGCCTCTCGGAGTTGGTCGGGCAATTGTGCACCCCCCCCCCCCCGTCCTTTCAGCTAATGTGCCTCATTTTGAACGTTGTGGCCTCCGGCATACGGAATAAGGGATACTATGAAAATAACTCCTGACAAATATCCTTGTATACGTGGGTTGGTTAGGTTGTAATGGCTGGGGGGAAGGATAATTGGAGGAATGGGGAATATGGGAGGAAATTAGACTCTGATGGGAGGAATGTGAATGAAAACTTTTTGCTTAAAAATACTTTGCTTTCTCCGACCCCGCACTTGCCTGTCTTTTAAATGAAAGCATGATACACCTTCACCTTGACTCTTAATGCTCTGGCTTACTCTGGTAATTACATCAAATTACTCTAGAATGAGGTTACTAGGCTGCTGACGGGGTATCATACTCCTCAAAATAATTAAGCAGGGACACTGGGGAATGGTTAATAAGGGGGGAAGGGGAAGAATAATAAAGAGGTCTAAGGAAGAAGCCTTGGGGAAGCTGCCACCACCCAAGGTGCATGTCCTCCTGGGATATCTGTCAATGGTGCAACATTAATTTACTCCGCCAAATCTCAGTATGAGGAGTTGACCTTCTCACGTAATGAAAATGCGAGTATGTCAGAATTAGGCTCAGGGTTTGACGTGATCTAATGAATAATGCATTGTGCCAGAGTTATAGTTAGCTCACAGAGCAAATCCCGAAGTGCACTTCTTGTGATGGCTCAGATTTTAAGTTTCAAGTCCATGAGATGTGAGCCTTTGCTCTTCAGACGAGACTCTTCACCATACTGAATACACCTAAATGTGTACATTCTTCACAATTTATACATTTCTTGCAAGTGATTTCTATCCATAACTTCTCTCTAGTCTTGAAGACAATTGTACCTTGGATGTGTCTAAAGCTTGACACAGGTACAAGAAAATTATTAATGAGGGTATGAGAGTCCATTTAATGTAGTTGTCATCTGATATTGAGCTCCGAATGTATAACAGAACTGATGAGTTAAGCAAACATAAATAAAACATAAGTGCATAAATAAAAGAAGTTGACTATGATCTGAGATGGCTTATAATCGACCTGAGAACAATGACACACCAAAAACTTCATAAATTTGAGACCAAGTGAAATTTTCACGTTCTCTTCCATCAGTCACCAAGTCACTACCGTGCTAGAGGAGCAGCATATCCATAGATCACATAAAATCGATCCATTGGTCCAATGGCTTCAGTAACATGTTAGATACACAAAAAACGAACGTGGATAAAAAAAAAAACACGAAAAAATGACGGACCAAAACGTCCAGGGCGGACGTGTAATTTTCTAATCAGAAAATTAGACGTCCTGTCTGTCTAATTTTCAGGAAGGTTACCTACATAGAGCTGTGTTCTGAGGGAGCCTCACCCCGTCGCCAGCCAAGCTCAGTGCTATAAAACAAACACATTTATGTACATACAAACCTGCTTGATTCATGCCTACAACTGAGACTTACGACTCTCGTGAATAGTTAATAGGGAACTTGTCTTGCCAACACAACAGTCTTCGATCCGCTGCAATGATCTGTACCGGCATTCTTTAGCGATTGTAGTGCTGTCATTGTATTATTTATTATGATATATTTCTTATTTTAGCCTCCCAACCTCTCTCTTCCTTTATCCCTTCCTCCCTTCCTCCCTTCCTCTCTCACTCCTTCCTTACATCTCCCTCTCATCCGTTTATTCTTGCAAATGAGTTTGGCGGACTGCATGCAACTGACAATTTTGTCACCGACAAATCTTCTACCGCAGGTGACCTTCGCTTCCTTCAACTGGACGGAGACTAACACCACTAACGTGACTCGGGTCGACCTCTCAGAGATATACACCATACGTCCCGACCTGCCCTTCGTCACCCACAGGCTGGGGTCGTGGAGGCCCCTGGCGTCACTCAAACTTCCTGAGGAACACTGGAGCGAGAGACGCACCAACCTCACCGGCCTCCACCTGCGTTGTGTCACACTGTCCGTACGTTACTGGCCCTCGTTGTTTCTTGGTTCATACTGTCCGGCCGTTACTGGCCCTCGTTGTTTCTTAGTTCATACTGTCCGGACGTTACTGGCCCTCGTTGTTTCTTGGTTCATACTGTCCGGCCGTTACTGGCCCTCGTTGCTTCTTGGTTCATACTGTCCGGACGTTACTGGCCCTCGTTGCTTCCTGGTTCATACTGTCCGGACGTTACTGGCCCTCGCTGCTTCTTGGTTCATACTGTCCGGACGTTACTGGCTCTCGTTGTTTCTTAGTTCATACTGTCCGGACGTTACTGGCCCTCGTTGCTTCCTGGTTCATACTGTCCGGACGTTACTGGCCCTCGCTGCTTCCTGGTTCATACTGTCCGGACGTTACTGGCCCTCGCTGCTTCCTGGTTCATACTGTCCGGACGTTACTGGCCCTCGCTGCTTCTTGGTTCATACTGTCCGGACGTTACTGGCCCTCGCTGCTTCCTGGTTCATACTGTCCGGACGTTACTGGCCCTCGCTGCTTCCTGGTTCATACTGTCCGGACGTTACTGGCCCTCGCTGCTTCCTGGTTCATACTGTCCGGACATTACTGGCCCTCGCTGCTTCCTGGTTCATACTGTCCGGACGTTACTGGCCCTCGCTGCTTCCTGGTTCATACTGTCCGGACGTTACTGGCCCTCGCTGCTTCCTGGTTCATACTGTCCGGACGTTACTGGCCCTCGCTGCTTCCTGGTTCATACTGTCCGGATGTGGGAACCGACCTGTGAGATTTATATTTATTTAATTTATATGAATTTATATTTACGTTAATTTATATACTTCGATAGCAATTTGTATAATGTTAAGTGGACTGTATTTCTGCAATAATCTCAATCTCACAAATCGATCCTCTACACATTAGGGGGGGGTTATTAAATTAATATATATGCAGCCAATCAAACTACAGTAATAGCTACATACATTGATGAGGTTCCTTATCTTATAGTACAGCAGGTTAGTCCACCAGGTATAACTAGGGTGTAGACACCAAATTATCCTCTTTGAGGTAGCTTCCATATCACCCAGTAACTGGTGCACAAAATCTTGCATCCTCGTCTAGACCTGTCAAAAGTGCGCTAGCTGTGAAGCCAGAATCCTATATATGACAAGCTATATCAGAGAAAACAGTACATGGAACATGAAGACCTGGCTTAATTACCTTTAGTTTGAGGCGATTTCGCGTTCTAACCGGGTCACCCTATATAATGACATTAATGGCCACTAATGATAGATAATGGGTTTCGGAAAGAACACTTAACTTGATTTGTTGACAGCGTGTTGACAGATGGTACACCTTTGGTATCCATAACACTACGTCCAAGTAAAATTAACAGGAGCCGAATTTGCTCCCGTGTGAGCCTCTGGTCTCGTATAACAATGGCTGCCCTCCTTCCCCACTCTGACGCCTGGCTTACATTGTCCAGATTTCAGAACGTGATAGAAGGGTCACATTTACTCTACTTTAATATTGATAATTAAGTTAATTTATATAAGATGTTTTTATGATGGTAAAGTCCAAAGACTTATGTATTTAAGAATAATTCCCAGCAGAATAGCTGGTGAATTATAATAGTATGTGGTGATGATATCCCGTTTTCTATAGACGGTAATTCCACTACAAGTTACGTTTTCTATGGGTAACTTGTTGGTAATACAGCTATTATCTGTATGATTATTAAATGGTGTCGGATTTTCCGACATAATTCCCCAGGGGGCTGCTCACGGGTCGAAGTCCTATTTAGAACAGACGAACACCGATACTCCTCCTTCGGATTATTAGATTAATTTGATGTTAGTAGTTAGTAATCACACATTTGTGCGTCTGTTCGTACAGGACGGATGTCCCGTACTAGAGTTGCAGGGGTTAGAAGTCTAATGCGATTTCATTTCCCTGTCAACTCTTGAAAGGCTAATATTCAAGCCTAATTACATATTATTTAACCCAGAAGACTGGATGTGATCATGTACTACAGTCAAGTATGATTCAGGGACTGCAGTGAGATCAGTGACATCAGATATAACTTGAAGTTTCTTCAGGTAACTGGTCACTGATATATAAACACTGAGGCCCATGGAATACATCTTGATTAAATAATAAATGTATCAAATCAGTCATCAGATTTATTAGGGTTTAATTTAGTTAATTGACTCAGAAGATTGAATAGCTCATCATTAAAGTAAAGTATAGTTCTGAGACTGCAGTGGGTTCAGTGACATTGGTCGCAGTGACTTGTAGCTGTTTTAGGCTACTGTTCACTGATTTGCCACTGAGGCCTCATGAACTCATCTTCAGCTTCAAATGATGATACTAACATCAAGCTCTGTTGGTATAGTCAGCTGTAATCTCCTTAGTATAATGCTACTGGAGAAATATAATCAGCTGACAAATTTAGGTTTCTACTGGTATTGTTTATCTGCAGGCATAGGTCTCCTCAGGCTTGATACTGGGCCTGAGAGTAATTTACCTCCTGCAGAGTTTAACATGGTTATGCCCTGATATTTAGTAGGGCTACCAATGAATTGATGGCAATAGTCTGTCCCTACAAGGAGACCGAAGTCGTTGAGGTGATCAGACTTAATATTATCTGCCAATTTTATTCCTCTATTTCTCAGGAATTTGGCTGTTGCTCTCAGACCTTGAACTTGTAGGTCTACTGGTATCTTGTCCACCACAATGGCTTGTACTCGACAGACGTACCTGCCTAAACGTACTGATGGTTGTACCACCTGGTAGACTTGAGGTCCTGCATCTGTTACAAACCCTGAGATGTTGAATGACATCTGGGCTACAGGCCTTAATTGTAATTCATCTGCCAGCTTTTTAGTAATATATGTTCTCTGGGATCCTTGGTCAAACAACCCACGGGTATGGACCTTGGCCCTCTTATTCAGGATGGTAATTTGGGCAGTAGGCAAAGTCGTATTACCTTTAGACTTTGCCGATTGGACACTCTTTGTTTGTTGCACCTTGCAGTACTGTACTGTGGTGGGAATGCTATCTTCCACCTTGGGGTTTGGAGACGTTGTTTTGGTGTCTCTGCACAATGCTGCATGGTGCTGACCTTTGTTACACCTATTACAAGGGTGTAATTGGGTATCACAATCCTTGATGTTATGTTTCCTGAGGCACCTCGTGCAATGTTGCAAATCTTTGAGTCGCTCAACACGGGCGTCACTATCAGGAAAATTAGAGCAGTGGTACATTGAATGTTTCTCATTGCAGAACAAACATGTTCCATAGCTTCCAGTACCCTTTGGTGTCACGTTCTTGGATGACACAGTAACTATAGGCTTGGAGGGTCCCACTGCATATACGCCCACACTGCCACTGTTCCACTTTGGTGTTGAATTATATTGTCTAGATTGAGTTGGAGTACCTTTGGTACTCTGTGGTTTACTATTATTGGTTTCTGAGGGTTTACTTGGTGGTTTTAATTTGTCATGTGTTCGTAATTGATGAACTACTGACTTTAAACCTTCAGATATTTCATTCATGGATAAGATACTTTTATTGTAATGAGCACTCATTTGTCTCAATATGTCCCTAGGTATTTTCTCCTGGACAATTATTTTCAAGACCCACTCAGCCCCGTTTGTATCTGCTGTCAGGCTGAGGGCATTGATCAATGATTCTACCTCCAGCTTGAAGACTTGGAGTGAATCAGCTGAAGCCTCCGGTGGGGGTAAATGCAACAGCTCATGAACTAAATGTGATGTTCTTACTTCTGGATCAGCATAATTATCCTTGAGGAGTTTTACTGCCAGATCATAGCCGTCATTAGTTAATCTCAGATGGGATACTACTGTTTTAGCCTCACCTGATAATTGACCTTGCAAATAAGAGAATTTACTACTCTTTGGTAAAGATTGTTTTGAGTCTACAAGGTCAACGAATTTGTTCCAAAATTCGTCCCAATCTTCCTCATCTTTCCCTGAGAAAGTGGGTAAATTAATTGGAGGGAGTCGAGCTTCCGCTTGACTCGTATTAGATGCAACTGTTGTTGTTGTTGCTGTTGCCTTGTTCTGGGCAATTAATTTGACATAAGGCTGTAACGTGGCCTGAGTGTGATCTTCATAATTCGCAAGATCAACCATAATGTCGTCTATTTCTGTTTCTGATAAATTAGTGTTGGCAAGTTCAGCCACATATGTTGCTATTTGACATTTGATTTGCTCAAATTTACCTGCAGCTGCTTGATAATAGCTTTCCAGGTCAGCATAATCAACTGTTGATTGTTGTGACAAATCTTCACATTTCTTGATCTGTCTTGTTAAGTGGCCTTTAAGACCTGCAAGGGTTCTTTTCATTCTCCCTGCATTATCCATACTGGCTCGTTGGTGAAGCCTTGTGGGGCTTGTACTTGGGCTGCTCATAATACTGAACAAGCTCTGATGGTAGCCTAGGGTAAATTCTGAACTCACTAGGCAATAATCCTACCTCTACTAGAGGTTAGCACTTAAAATTAATACACATTATATATATATACAATCATCCACACTAATGATTTGAGTGATAAACCAGTGTCACTGGAAGTACCTTTAGGTTAGCTCTTCTATATCACCCTAGGATGGTAGAGACACTAATTAATCACTCAAAGGTGTAATGATCATAAGTAATTTATTATATATACAACTCAACTCGAGTTGTTAAAAATTACACCCAAAATAGGGTCTGGACCATGCATTAATGGTGTTAGGTTGTTCAATATAGTACAACTGACTATAGTAATAATGGGACTAGGATGAACAATAATAGTTCAACTAGTCATATCCTACCCTGTTGTGGGTTGGCAATTAGTAAATATTATACTGTGATCACTAGTGCAATATATTAAATAATTCTCTATTTGGAGAAATAATATACACAATTATTGATAATAGCCTCTTAATTAACCTCTATGAAACTTCTAATATTATCAAGAAGTATTAAATATTATTAGTGACCTCGCGAAATAAACTCCACAAAATTCGTAGATAATCTCTCGCGAAATGTAACACCACGAAATCCGTGAACAATCTTGCGACAGTCACTAATTGGCTGGCTTCTATATTAGCGCTGTCATTTCACGAAATAACACGCCACCAAATATCTGTGGGTGTGCATGAAACCGCTGACGAAGCTGAACTGGGCTGAGGGAGGCTCCTGAGCTCCCTCGAGGCTAGGCTGCCGTCTTGACTGCTGGGTTTGTTTAAATAACACTGCACTAGTATATTTAATGAATCCACTGGTTAACTGGTTCATCCGGTACTAAGATGACCAAATGTGGGTTCATAGGACCGAATAATCCGGTTCGAAGGACCAAATAATGTGGGAACCGACCTGTGAGATTTATATTTATTTAATTTATATGAATTTATATTTACGTTAATTTATATACTTCGATAGCAATTTGTATAATGTTAAGTGGACTGTATTTCTGCAATAATCTCAATCTCACAAATCGATCCTCTACACATTAGGGGGGGGTTATTAAATTAATATATATGCAGCCAATCAAACTACAGTAATAGCTACATACATTGATGAGGTTCCTTATCTTATAGTACAGCAGGTTAGTCCACCAGGTATAACTAGGGTGTAGATACCAAATTATCCTCTTTGAGGTAGCTTCCATATCACCCAGTAACTGGTGCACAAAATCTTGCATCCTCGTCTAGACCTGTCAAAAGTGCGCTAGCTGTGAAGCCAGAATCCTATATATGACAAGCTATATCAGAGAAAACAGTACATGGAACATGAAGACCTGGCTTAATTACCTTTAGTTTGAGGCGATTTCGCGTTCTAACCGGGTCACCCTATATAATGACATTAATGGCCACTAATGATAGATAATGGGTTTCGGAAAGAACACTTAACTTGATTTGTTGACAGCGTGTTGACAGATGGTACACCTTTGGTATCCATAACACTACGTCCAAGTAAAATTAACAGGAGCCGAATTTGCTCCCGTGTGAGCCTCTGGTCTCGTATAAACAACAATGGCTGCCCCCCTCCTCACTCTGACGCCTGGCTTACATTGTCCAGATTTCAGAACGTGATAGAAGGGTCACATTTACTCTACTTTAATATTGATAATTAAGTTAATTTATATAAGATGTTTTTATGATGGTAAAGTCCAAAGACTTATGTATTTAAGAATAATTCCCAGCAGAATAGCTGGTGAATTATAATAGTATGTGGTGATGATATCCCGTTTTCTATAGACGGTAATTCCACTACAAGTTACGTTTTCTATGGGTAACTTGTTGGTAATAC